ATGAAATTAGTTAACTCTTCATTAAAATAAAAATAAAATATTTATGGAATCAGTTCTTAAAAATTAAAAATATAATAATTTCGTTCTAAAATTTTAAAAGTTAAAAAAATTAATAAACTAAAAATAATTAGTGGATGACTTTACCATGTATACGAGAATAGGATTAAATATCTATAATTAAATTGAGTGATTAGTTTAATCTAAAAAAAGAAATTTGACTGAGATTAAAGAAAATTTTTTAATTATATTTTTTTAATGGTTAAATGCTTAATTTGGTCCCTTAACTTTAAGAAATGAACATTTTTGATCCCTCAACAATTTTTTGCACTTTTTTGATCTCTCAACTACAAGAAATGCACTCCGTTAGTCCTTCGGTTAATTTGAGCCGTTAACTCCGCTTACGTGGCATTTTTTATATTTTTTTTGATGATGTGGAGAGCAAAGTGATGACATGGAGAGCAAAATGATGACATGGACAAACATTTTGACATTTAATATTATCTTTTAATTTTTTTATGACGTGGCAAACATTTTGACATAAAATTACTTAACTACCCCCACCCACCCAATCCTTCTTCTCCTCCTTCTTTCTTTCTCTTTCTTTTTTCCCTGCTGGGTCTCGTCGAACCCAGCCTTGCTGGGTTTACCCGAACCCAGCTATTGGGTTCGACGAGACCCCAGCTGGGTTCCGATGAACCCAGCTTTGCTGTTTTGATGTTGAATTTATGTTTTTTCATTTTTCTTTGGATTTTCATTTTTAGTTGTTAATAAATTTGAGAGTTGATTTACAATTTGATTGTATTTTTGTTGGAGTTTGATTGATATTGTTTATTTTGTTTATTGAATGGTTAATTTGATTTGATAAGATTTACTAAGTTTGAGGCTTGAATGAAACCCAGAAACTGGGTTCAATTTCTCAAGGAAGAGGAGTGGAGATGAGAGAGTATTTAGAGAGGTAGAAGAAATGGGTTAAGATTGATTCTCTGGAGTGGAGGTTAATTTTGCAGAGAGGGAAGATGAGCAAGGAAGATGAGGTTAATTTTGCAGAGAGGGAAGATGAAAAGGAAGATGACATGTCGTCAAAAAAAGTCCAAATCAGTGCCTTTTAAGTTTTTTTTGTCATGTCATCCAAAAAAAATATAAAAAATGTCATGTGGTCAAGTTAACGGCGAAAATTGACAGAAGGACTAACGGAGTGCATTTCGTATAGTTAAGGGATCAAAAAAGTGCAAAAATTGTTAAGGGACCAAAAATGTGCAAACCACTATAGTTGAGGGACCAAATCTAGCATTTAACCTTTTTTAATCTATTGAATTTTCTATTTTAACTCAATTAAAAAATTTTCTTTAACTTCAGTTAGAATTCTTTATTTAAATTGAGTTAATAACTTGATTT